TAGCCTGTGTTGTTTCCTGCAATCAGAGTCATGTAGGCATCTTCTGGGCTTCTCTTCAAATACATCACCTACAGGGCAGAGGTTAAAATACGTAACTAATAATGGACAGACAGACAGGCAATCAGATGATGTGATGGACAAATGAAATGATATTTACAGCATAGGAACAGCAGCATTGGCTCTCTTCTTCTGGTCATAGCTGGTGTAGTGAACCAGTCTCTTTCTAGACATTGTGAAAGACTATAAACCAATAATGATAATCAGTGAAAACAGCACGTGTGCATTAAACCTGTTAGCAGTCGGACGTACCGCCCACGGTACATTGGATGGTTTAGGGGACTAATTGGACTGCTAAGGGGTTAATACATTTAAAATAGGCGTCTACTGTCAGAGGAGTGCACACACACCATCAGAGCAAAGACCTTTCAAAATAAGAGTGTAACGCGTTTTCTAAATGATATCTATACAGCATACAAAGCCCTGAGTCTGAAGTACAGACCTTCATCTGCATTACCTTCAGCTTCTTGTTGAGTTTCCAGCAGTATCTGTACAGCGTGGCCAGGTTGAGGGGCCCAAAGTCTGCATAAAAAGTGCAACACACAGTAAGAGAGATGTCAAATAGGAGCTTTCAACAATTACAACACAAAAACAACAACACACACAAATCAGCCACAAAACTAAACCCACTGACAGGTGAAGTCAGTGACATTGTTCATCTGGTTATAATAAAATGCTCTGTTAGAAAACCTTGGGACATTTATCTGGATGTTTCCACCCACACAATGCAGACATGGAGTCAGTTTAAAAACACATCTGTGAAAACATTACTGGCAAACTTCATGTAATATTACGTTAAAGCAAATGTAAATTTATAATTAAAAAAAGAATGTTTCAATCTGACCACAAACTTTTAAGCAGTAGTGTGTATTGTGTACATGTGTCTGTATCTGATCAGGATTTTTTTAGTTGTGTCTATCATCAAAAATTGAGTTGAAGTGTTTTAAGTCAGATGGCAAATTCTGCCTAACAAGTCCACTTTATTGCGTGCTCATTTCCTCCTATTACTGGCTCATACCTCACCTTTACGTCTTTACCTCACAAAATAAAGCACCCTGAGGTGACTGTTGTTGTGATTTGGCGCTATATATATTTGCTACCTTTTGTACTGTCATTAAGACAGTCTTCTGCCTTTTGCATTGTCTCTGAGCATTGTAGTCTTGGGGTAAACTTGCTGCGTCTTCCACTCCTGGGAAGTGTGGCAACTGCCTTGAAGGTTTTCCATTTATGAATGATCTTTCTCGCTGTAGGATGATGGACTTCAAATTGTTTGAAAATGGTCTTAAACCTCTTCCCAAAGTAATGGGCAGCAACAGTTGCTGCTGATGTCTTTCCTTCTTGGCATTGTGTTAACATGCACTTGAATTATGCAGACCAGCAAACTACCCAAATTTCTACTTTGATAGAGGAGCTCACACTTGTCGATAATCAATGAATCTAGTATATATGAATGGATGCCAGATGGCTTCCCCTTTTTGAGCCTAGTTCTACACTTCGCACTGTTGCCATGTACTTGTTCTATGGGTGTTGGCTGATTGTTGAGGTCTTCTCTCTATTATTGTAGGGTCATTACCTTACAATATAAAGTGCCTTGAGTCAGCTATTGTGATTTGGAGCACAAAACCTGTGGCTATAGAAGTGGTTAGAACACCAGTATTCAATTATTTGGATGGATGAGTAAATACTTTTGGAAATATAGGGTATATAAATAAACTTAAATTAAAGTCAGGGGCAAGCAACCTGCTCCATGATCCTCGAGACTCTAGTTTATTTCTGCTTCTGTTTTATTGTTTGAGAAAGAAGTTTCAGAAAAAGTAGCAGAAATTTAAACCATTTAGGTTTCAGTAAGTTAAAAAAAAAACTGCCTTTTAACATGGTTAATTTTATGTTTTAGTTCTATGTGGATGCCGGCAACTTAGATTGGGTAGACTGTGTGCAACTCTATATGCACATATACCATTTGACCAGGTCTCTCTTTGCACAAGCATCCCCCTTTGCATTTGTGTCTGTTTACAAATTGAGCTCTGTGTGCTCTGGAATTTATAATGTCAACAAACCCTACCTTTTCCCTTTGTAACATGTACTGTGTTTCCACACTTATTTATTGTTGACTGTGGTCTTTAAAACATTATTTAGATCATACTGAATGACAAAGTCTGTTGTGATTTTTCTTGAGTTGTGTCTTCATTAGAATGTTCAATGTGTAAATTAGTGGGTTGTGTGTCTGATACCAACTAAAAAGACTGAAGTGCAACTGTGTTAAAACGATGCAGATAGTTGACCCTGGTTTCGGGGAGGGAAATATTGTGAAAACGCTGCCCTTTGAAACTGCATTAAAGCCACATGACACTCTTTGATTGCTTTAGATCAGCAGGGCTACTCCTCTCACCTAGATTCCCAACAGGAAGGACTTTGAACACACACAAATCCAATCTGCTAATTCACTGAGGAATTTAAACAACGTATTCAGAGGAGCCTGCAAAGAGAAGAGCCTGATTTACAACTCAGGGAAGGGGGTGTTTCCTTTGTCATTCCCCCAAAACTTTCTCTGTGCTCAATTCAATTAGCGGTTGGTACACTGACGAGAGAACAATGAGGACAGCAGGAGTCTTTGTGTTTTTGCTGCTTAACGTGGTCATGGAAATAACTGGTGCTGTGGATAATACAAAGGGATCTAGTTCAGAAAAGTCCAGTCCCAAAAACAAGCTGAAGACAGAAGAGGCTGAACTTCCTCACACCAAGCCTGCAAGTTTTTCACAGTTTTTAGGCAAACTGCTCGTGGTGCCCATGGATGGGAGTCATTGGATAGGTCTTAAAGCCATTGCCCAGGAAATGGGTCGCCGTGGACACAGAGTTACGGTGGTGATGCCAGAGACCACCATACGAATGGGCCCAGGAAAACACTATGACACTTTGACCTATCCTGTACCTTATGACAAGGCTTACATCGACTCTGTGATGTCCACACACAAAGACATCATGAAAAAATCCTCACAGCCTTTCATGGAGAAGATCAAGAAACGGTTCAGACAGTTCCAGGCCATTTCTTATATTCCGCACATCACTGCAGAGAAGCTGCTCTTCAATGCCAGTCTCATATCACACTTGTCCCAGCAGGTGAGTACAAATACAGAAGATGAACACAACTTTGGTATCAGCTGCAAAACCAACATTGGAGCTCAAGCTTTGCAAATTGTACATGGAGGGTCTTTTGCTTATACTGTGTAAGAGTGTTGGGATGGAGGTTCTCTTCTACAAGTTGGCAGTCCAAATTCTCATCATGTTGTACATCTATTAATGTAACTGTAGTGGTTGACTGTGTATAGTTCCTAAAATTTTAATTGTATATTATTATTAATAGACCCATGGAAAAAAAACCAAAAAAAAAACCACGCCACGCAGCCCACCCTGACACTAAGGTTTTACACATCAGGACATTAAAAGCTATATAGGCTTTATCAGGTCTCAAAATCGGGCCCCTACAACTTCACACACTTAAAGGGGGAGGGGCTATAAAAAAAAAGCTTCTGCTAGACTGATGATGAACTCGGGGGCTGCACAAAGGTCCAATAAAGGATAAAAACTGAACTGTGAATCATGCAATGCTGTCCTACTTTCAAATGAGCATCATAGGTCCAGTTTAGCCACTTTATACCTTTCTATCTACAATCTGTAAAATCCTCCATGTGTGAACCATGTATGCAAGACAGTGTAGTGCTGACACACAGTGGAAGATTGACTCCTCTCTGCTTTTCCACCTTCTTCCTGTTTCACTTTATAGGACTTTGATGCCGTCTTGACAGATCCCATGCTTCCCACGGGCTCATTAGTAGCTCGGAAATTAGGTGAGCTCCTCTGCACTCAGGTTATCTGTTTGCTTGTACACCTGCACATTTTCTCACCTATCATTACTCAATCACTTCCAGGTCTCCCTACTGTCAATCTGCTGAGAGGAATACCGTGTAACTTGGACATGAAGTCTGCTGGCTGCCCATCTCCGCCCTCATACGTTCCTCGCTTTTTCACTGGATACACGGATAAAATGAGTTTCAAAGAGAGATTTATCAACACTTTGGTGAGCCAGGCGGAAGTTAACATATTCAAGCCTTAAAGCACAGCTTTTCCAGGAATGTTATTTGCAATCTTCTTTCAGACAATGTATGGTCACGAACAAAACACTGTTGGTTTGTGACCATATTGCTCAGGAAATATGTGCTGTACCTTCCAATGATCTTTCCTAAATTACTCTTCATACTTTATACTCACCTCATTTGTGGTCATGAGAGTATTATTTATTGCTTACAACTAGTGTCGGTCAAGTTACTTGCAAATAATAATTAGTTACTAATTACTGATCACTTCTCCATGACGGTAATCCCATTACTTTACTGATTTGTTATTTTCAAAAGTAATGAGTTACTTTAGTAGTACTTTTAGTTACTTTTAAAAACACGATACACAACAATACATTATAAAACAATAAGCCTATCAGCCCCGTTCGATTTTTTCTGAATATTTCATTTTATAAAATCGAATCAAATGAAAAAGTCTCTTTTAAAACTTGTTTTATTCATTTTAATTTTTTAACTTTATGCACATTGCACCAAGCAAAAATTAAATTATATGCAAGAGTGTTTGACTTGAAGAAATGTGTTTAACTTTTAAACCTATTTTCTGCATATTCCAGCATGTAAAGTTTTAGTAACGCGGTAACACAGCGTGCTTATGGGAAAGTAAAAGTAATCTACTTGCTTTTTTTGCAATCGTACTGCTTTAATTTACTCGTTACTTGAAAAAAGTCATCGGATTACAGTAACGCGTTACCGTCAATCTCTGCTTACAATGAGGTTCATTTGGGACAAACTAGTATGTCAGTGTTATTACTATTACAGTACGTCTTAGTTTTTCTGTCTTCAGTTTTGGTGCTGTATTACTGTCCTGTAATGCCTCTGACCCACAGGTGGCATTGGTGGAGCCGCTGTTTTGCAAACTGCTGTATTGGCACTTTGACCAAATAGCCCGTGATTTCCTCGGAGAGAACGTGGGCGTGGCTGAAGTGCTTTCAGACTCTGATATCTGGCTGCTCAGGTAACACATGGAACGTCTGTGTATTGTTGACATTTTCTGCCTGTGTGAGTGTAAAAAACCAAAAAACTGTTGCTGTATTTAAACAGGAACGACTTCACGCTGGATTTCCCACGCCCACTCATGCCCAATATTGTACTGGTTGGTGGAATCAATTGCAATGTGAAACATCCTCTGCCCCCAGTAAGACTTTATGAGTTTTAGACTCTAAATACATTTATGAACATTCTGATTGACACCACTTACCGTAGGACTGTAAGACCAATCAGGTAAGAGTGATAAATGCAAAGTACTTAAGTAAGTTTGTGTTTTGTCAGGATCTAGATTCCTGGGTGTCTGGAGAGCACGGGTTTGTAGTGTTCACTCTGGGCTCCATGGTGTCAGATCTGCCAGAGGAAATCACCTCTGTCTTTCTGGAGGCCTTCAGACAGATTCCACAGAAGGTATATCAGCATACAGCTTATCTTGTGTTATAAATAAATACAGCTAATCTTAATCTACAATAAAACTATGACAGGTCATATGGAGATACACTGGAAAGGTTACTGACAATGTCCCGGAAAATGTGAAGATGATGAAATGGGTCCCACAGAATGACCTGCTAGGTGTGTGTCTGCAGCAGCACATCCTGAAATGTGAAGCACGCTGATGTGTCACATATCATAACATCTGATATTTCTGCATGTTTTGTGTCTTAGCTCACCCGGGAGCCCGTGCATTCATCACTCACGCTGGCTCACATGGTCTGTTTGAGGGACTGTGTCACGCCGTTCCAATGCTGATGGTGCCCCTGAACGGGGACCAGCCGGACAACGCTGCGAGGATGGCCAGCAGAGGTGTAGGAATCGTGTTGAACATTTTAGACATTAATACAGAAACTCTTCTGAAGGGGCTGAAGGAGGTCATCAGTGACAGCAGGTGAGGGAGTCAGCAGACGGCTCACATTCAACCAAAACTTTCCATTTTGGTCTACAAAATGTTTTTGTTTGTTTTTTTCAAACAAGCACATCTTTAGCAAGCAGGTGACAGTCATGGGGGTTCTTTATGGAACATGAGGGGTTTCTATTTGCAGGACCACCGTGCACACCACAAACATCTGAAGATAACTGAATGCAAAACTTTTCCAGGTGCCTGTGTATCATGTGGTTTTTAGACTCAGTGAGACTTTCTGACCTTAACCCAACGTACTTGCCCTCTCATTTCACAAATGACTATTCTATGTGTATTGATGATTGCAGCTACATGAGGGTGACTCCTTGGTGGTCATGCACACCAAAGAGTGTAACACTGGTCCTGAATTTCCTGTATTAGCACAGCCTGACTTATCTTTTTTTCCAGCCTCAGCATCAGAAACTCTTTTACTGATGTCCTCAGAAATGTCCTTTATTTGTGCCTCAGTGTATTTCTGAGTGTTTTGAATATCAGACTTGGACAGATCCCTGTGCTTTAAACTAAAACAGGGTGCAGGCTTTTACTTTCCCCCTCACAGGTATGCAATGAGTGACTTTTTCTTAAGTAAATAAAAGGTCATCATTTGTTCAATTGGGTCCACATCACATTAACACAAGTCCTAAAATTAGATAAACCTGATGGTGGTCACATTAATTGCAAAAAATAAAAAACTCTAACAAACCTTCACTGTACCATCTGTTCTTGAAAGAACTTTACATATGATCTAACTCAGCTCTCTGTCATTTAAAAAAAACCTGCCCATTTATCTGTGTTTTCAGGTACAAAGAGAACGTGAAGAAGCTGTCAGATCTTCATAATGATCGGCCGTCGGACCCGCTTGAGCTTTCAGTGTATTGGACAGAATTTGTGATGCGGCATAAAGGGGCGAAGCATCTCAAATCGACTCTCCATGAACTCTACTGGTTCCAGTACTTCAGCCTGGATGTAATAGTGCTGCTAACTACTGTGGTGCTTGTTTTTGTAATGCTGACAGCAAAATGCATGAAGCTATGCTTCCGTAAAGTGAGACGAAAGTGGAAGCAGGAGTAAGGACAGTTTTTTTACTGGAAGTACTGTGATGTTGTAATTGTATTCTCATCACGGTTTAAAGGATGTTTTGATAAAACATCAGTATCAATAAAACCTTAATGCAAAATGTTGATTACATTCTAATTGAATACACTTAAGAAGCCTTGTGTGATCACAAAGATATTTAATCTAGAGAAAACACAGAATATAATTAGATTCCATTACATATAATCTGGGGTTGAGGGGCAATGATGAGCATTAGTGGCCACCCTTCTTTGGAGGGAACATGGTGTACTCTATAGCCAGAGCTACAGTAAAGGCAGCAAAGCCCCACTTGAATCCTCTCAGCAGAACTTCTGACAGAGTCACAGCACGAGCGAAGCCGCCTGAATACCTCCACGCCTCGTTGCTGCAGAGAAAGGGAAAGTGACAGGAAAGAAAGACGGGCAGCAGTGTCAGATCACACAGAATATAAGGAGATGTCAGAAATATATCATACATGGGCAAAAATACTGACCGTGCCCATGGGTCCTTCAGACCCCGTGCAGCCAGCCTCTGCTGTGTGAACTCCAGTGGCGTTCCCTGTGTCTTCCACTGTCGCCAATCTGGCATGGAGAGCTTGCTGTGGCCGTGGTCACCTCCCATACTGGAAACATAAGCAAACAGGCCATTTTTTTAACCTTCACCTTACTGGCAGCCTTTGTTTTGCTTCTTGTGTCATCTGTGTTTTACTTAATGAAACACGCTCACTTTCAGTAGGTTCAGCAAATGGCAGCAGCTTACTTAATACAAACATGTTCAAACAGAGGAACTTTTATTTTAAAACAACAGGACAAAGTTCATTGTGACCAAATCTGCAACTTATTTCTGGTATCTGGGTGTAATCATGCAAATGGATAATGTATTCAAAGGATGATTACATGAAAGCCACAAATAAGCTTAAGGAAATGAGTCCTGTCATTCTCTGTGAAACTGTACAGTAACGCTTTCTGTCTGTGACAGGTGAACACGCCTGTCAGGAATAAAAATCCACTTAACCTAATTTTTTTATTATTGGTTTTTTAATCACTGTTGTATATATAAAACTTTACATAAAATCTCATACTATAAGGCTCACTGTGTGCCTGTGGCAGTGTTACTTTCCCTATGCTGTTTATTTATTGTAGACTTTACTATGTTTATTATATAACCTGCTGCTGTAACACAAACATGTCCCCTGTGGGATCAATAAAATATCCGTTATCTGTCTATCAT